AACGAGTAGTGAAGCCGGGATGCAACGCTTCCAAGAGCTGGCAGTGAGTACGGACCAAGAAGAAAAAGGGGACTCATGCCTTGTTGCTTGTTTTCATTCTCTCTTTTTTTTTTGCTTTTCTTTGCGTGTGCGCCCCACACTGGCACTCTCATTGCTAGTTCGCATTCTTGCTTGCGGGCGGCGTAGAAAGTGGAAGGTGCAGAATGTTGGAAGTGGCAGACAAGACAGTGGAGTTTTTGCTGCGTCACGACGCCGCGCGCCCGCCGCCAGACATTGGCTCGCTTGCAGGGAACGCATTCGAACGTGTTCACTGGAGAGACGCATTTGACACCTTTCAGGAGGCTGAGCGTCTGGCGCTCTGGGAAACGAAAACTGCGCTGGATGGCCTCAATGAGGGTGCGTACCTTGCCGCCCGTGATGCCCTCTTCCCGCTGGCCGTGAGCGGCAGCCAAGGCGCTGTTTCGTTCGGAAACCGTGCCGGACACAAACTGCGCGAAGCGTTGGAGGCTACCGGTGTTTGGGAACACCTGCAGCATGAGACATGTGGGCGGAATAGTCGTATTGCCTTTGCCGATGTCTGCGGTGGCCCTGGTGCCTTCTCGCAGGCCCTCTTCGCGATGAGCCGGCAGTACAAACTGAAACTGCGGGGGTTTGGCATGACACTGCGCAGCGTGAAGGGGCTCGACTGGTACTCCAGTCTTCCATCGGACCGCTTCCTGGCCACGTACGGCGTTGACGGTACCGGGGATGTCTTTAACTTGGCTAACATTGAGGCACTTCGCTCCTTAACTCTCACAGAAAAGCTGAAGCTTGTCGTGGCTGACGGTGGCTTCAACGTCCCATTCGATATTGCGAACTATCAGGAGACCATCTCCGGCAGGATTCTCTTCGGGCAATGGTTGGCCGCGTTGAAGCTCCTTCGGCCGGGTGGTTGTTTTCTGCTGAAGCTATTTGACACATTTTCCCCGCTTTTGCGCGTCATGCTGTACCTCGCCACCTACCTGTACGACCGCGTTCATGTGGTGAAGCCTCGCCACAGCCGTGTCGTGAATAGCGAGAGATATTTGGTGTGTCTGGGCTTTCGCGGTGCCCAGGCGCCATGGATGGCGTACTTCGAGCGCTGCTATCAGGTTGGCTTTACCGACAACGACTCTATTCCAACCATAATGCCCGTCTCGTGGGTGATGGAGGACGAGACGTTTGTGGGTGACATGGCGGAGATGAGCTCTGCAATTGCGTCGAACCAGGTGGTGTCGCTGAAGATGGTGCTGGCAAAGTTGCATTCCTCCTCGTCAGCGGAAAAGACGGAGCAGCAGCCGGTTTCTTGACTGGAGTGCGACTGCGAGAACAGGCGACTCATGCGCCGCGACTTTCTCTTTCTATTTCGGTGTTTGTGTGTGTGTGTGTCTAATGTGACCTTTGTATCTCTCCATGTTTGTCTGCTTCTTTTTTTTTTTTACCTGGCATCTTCTTCTTTTTCTTTCTTTATTGGTATGCGTCTCTCTCCGTGTGTGGCTGCCTGCCCTCGTACCGCGCAAGCAAACCTTATTTAGTTTTAATCATTTGTTCTTCCCGTCTCGGCATCGTCCATGTCAGCGCTTTCTCTTGTGCAGCACGCCACGCTCCCCCGCCGCAAGTTGCTGCTTGTGGTGATGGACGGCGTCGGCATTGGCCCCGGCGACGCGTACGACGCGGTGCACTTGGCGAAGACACCCTTCATTGACTCGCACAGCGCCGACGCAAAGCACTTTCGCTCCGTCTGCGCCCATGGCACCGCCGTCGGACTCCCTACGGATGCAGATATGGGCAACAGTGAAGTGGGACACAACGCCCTTGGCGCGGGCCGTGTTGCGTTGCAGGGCGCCTCGCTTGTTGACGATGCCCTCAAAAGCGGTGATTTATTTACCGGCGCCGGTTACCGTTACCTTCACGGCGCCTTCTCGCAGCCAGGACGCACCCTTCACCTCATCGGCTTGCTAAGCGACGGCGGTGTCCACTCCCGCGACAACCAGATTTACGAGATCATCAACCACGCCAGCTCGAATGGGGCGAAGCGTATCCGCGTGCACGTCCTCTACGACGGCCGCGACGTCCCTGATAAAAGCTCCTTCAAGTTTACGGATGACCTGGAGGCCGTCCTTGAAAAGACCCGCCAAAAGGGCTGCGATGCCCGCATTGCAAGCGGCGGCGGTCGCATGTTTGTTACGATGGATCGCTACGAGGCGGACTGGGCGGTAGTCGAACGGGGCTGGAGGTCGCAGGTGTTGGGTGAGGCGCGAGCCTTTGCCTCTGCGAAGGAGGCCATCACAACCTTCCGCGCAGAGGACCCAAAAGTTACGGATCAGTACTACCCACCGTTCGTCGTCAGCGACGCGAGCGGCAAGCCGCTGGGCCCCATCGAAGACGGCGATGCCGTGCTCTGCGTCAACTTCCGCGGCGACCGTGTCATTGAGATGTCGCGGGCCTTTGAGGAGGAGGATTTCGACAAGTTCGATCGGGTTCGTGTTCCCAAGGTGCGCTACGCCGGCATGATGCGCTACGACGGAGATTTGGGTATTCCCAACAACTTTCTGGTGCCGCCGCCGCGGCTCTCGCGGACGAGCGAGGAATATCTCATCGGCTCCGGCTGCCACATCTTCGCCTGCTCCGAGACACAAAAGTTCGGCCACGTGACGTACTTCTGGAACGGCAACCGCAGCGGCAAGTTGGATGAGGAGCACGAGACCTTCCTTGAGATCCCCAGTGATCGTGTGCAGTTCAATGAGAAGCCCCTCATGAAGAGCAAAGAAATCACCGACGCGGCAATTGATGCGTTGAAGAGCGGCAAATACGATGTAGTTCGCATCAACTTCCCCAATGGAGATATGGTGGGCCACACGGGTGACCTCGCGGCGACAATTGTTGGCGTAGAGGCTGTGGATGAGTCGCTGCAGCGGCTGAAGGAGGCCGTCGACGCGGTCAACGGCGTCTACCTTGTCACCGCTGATCACGGCAACTCCGACGACATGGTGCAGCGCGACAAGAAGGGGAAGCCGCTCGTGGGCGCCGACGGAAAGGTCCTCCCGCTGACTTCGCACACGCTGGCGCCCGTGCCCGTGTTTATCGGTGGCGCCGGGCTGGATGAGCGTGTGAGAATGCGCACGGATCTCCCAAGGGCCGGGCTGGCGAACTTGACAGCGACGTTCCTCAACCTGATGGGCTTCACCGCGCCGGCGGACTACGAGCCTTCGCTCATCGAGGTGGCCCCGAGCTGAGCAGCGACGCCGGGTCCAAACCAAACCCAAAGGAAGAGTTTTTCAAAAGGACTGAGGACCGCCGCTGGCGGTAGTAGATTCTTCCACGGTAATAGTATGTACTGTAGGCGAGCGAGAGCGTCTATTACAGGCATGGAGGCGAAAATCGACAGGGCGGGGACGGGAAGGGGTTAAGAAGGAAGTAACAGAGTAGGAGAAAGTGTAAGCGCAGGCCGACTGAAAGAGAAGTACGGAATGGAACGCACGCAAATACACTAATAAATTTGCAGTAGAATGAGTAGCAGGAGGGAGGGTCCTCGGGAAGCAAAGGAGCAGACTGCGAGGAGGCAACGGCCAGGCCCCATCAGCAAAAAAAAAAGGTATATATATATATATATTATATGGAAATTACTGCGTGTTTTCACGGAGATTTTGTTTACTTAAAAGAAGTAAGAATTTCGTTCTAGTTCCTTTTTGCGCATAATCGCTCCTTGTTGGTATTCTTCCTTTGCAAATTAATTGATGCGGTACAATGCTGAATGTCGCTAACCTGGAAGCCCATTTTACAAGGCTGCCGAAAGCGTGAGTGTCGCTACATTTACAGCTGTCGTACTTCGTCGCTGACGGCGTGGTCCTCGCTGTTGCTGCTGTTGGAGCTTTCGCTTTCTCTCTCTCCCCCTCTCTGACTCTTTATTTGGGCCGTGTTGTGTATGTCGGCGTATAAATTGCGCTGCCTCTTTGTGTAACTTGGATTACGGCAACGCAAAGGCGTCTGCGCAGACTAGCGGTAAATTTACATTGCATCTCATGAGTTCTTCGTCAAAGGGTCCCGCGGGAGCTGACAAGGTCCCATACAGCAACGTTGTTCGCGGAGGGCGGCTGACGTCTCAGCGGCGTGGCTGGCGTTTGCCACGTGCCACTTATATGATGGCGCCTGCGGCCCTCGTCTTTGCGATTGGAGGATTTTGCTTCACATATTGGTGGAACGGCAAGCGGGCGAAGGAGGGGCCGTGTGTCGACTGCAAGCGTCAGCAGGAGATAATGGAGGAAATGTACATGCGCAAGTCGGCTGTGCAGAAGGGGTATAGGCTGTAGTGCCGCAAGGGCTCCCTCGCGCGTGTCGCAGTGTGCTGGGTAAAGAGGATCCGGTGGTGTTGTGGTGCTTATTCCATGCGCTGAGCATCCCACAGGGATAGTCTGGCGCAGGGCCAATTGTGTGCCCCGTCTCATGTTCGCACCGTTGCAGTTCCGCCTTTTATTCTTTGCTTCCTTGTTTTTCTTTCTTTCTTTGTTGTTGTTTGCTTGCTTTTGTTTCGCCGCCGGGTGTTTGTGAACAAAGCAAAAAAAAAAACCGTGACGCCTTGCTTGGCCTGTTACTTAGGGAGGGGGCTGGGTTCTCTCCGTGGATCATGGGAGACGCTCTGATCGGCCAGCTCGAACAGGACTTCCGCGCCATTGAGCAGATGGACCCGTCGCTCGCGGACGGCTTCAAAATTGTCTACGACCGGGAGGTGCCGTGTGAGATGCGGGCGACGCGTGGCGGAGACGCCGGCGCCGGCACACTGGAGGGGGTGCGGGTCAAGGTGCTCTCCCTCGGCGACGACCATAGTCTCTCCACCATGCGCATTGAGCTGACGAGCGAGTCGGACCTTTTCTTCCACAACACGTGCGTCATCAACCACGCCGGTTTCCTCCGGCTGCGCGAACACCAAAGTCTCATTTGCGACTTCCCTGATTTTCTCATGACCCTCCTGAAGATGTTCAACCGCTGCATTAGAGAGCCGCAGCGGTTTCTTATGGTTCTTCTTTTAGACGAGAACGGGACGGCAAACATGGAGTTTGTAGAGAATCTTGAGTACAAGCTGGTTGGGGTGCTGACGCTGCCATTCCGAGCCTCCCCACCGGAGGTGGTGCGGGAACAGATTGGGTACCGCTACAGTGCCGTGCGCGCGCGACTGGCGCTGCTCACAGCCCAGCTTGAAGAATTCCAACCTTGTGCTGAAGCCGCAGCAATAGCGGGGCACACGGAGAGGAGGCAAAATGCACGCACACAGGTGCGTGCGTGTACTTGTTGAGATGATGCAGGGAGGAAGGGGAAGGAAATAGACGCGAACCCGGGAACCAACAGCTAAGGAGCATGAACCGAAGGAGGAGAAAAGGCAATGAATGAAAAATACAGGACAACATGGAGTACCACGCGAGGAATATATATATATAGTTGCTTGTGAATGTGTATGTGTATGTGTGCGTGTGCCTTGTGGGTGGTTCCGATCGTTATCGATGTACCGTGTCGTGGAAGGTGAGATGCAAAGTAACGGCTTCCGGGTAGAAGACGTGGCAGTGGCACTCTGCTTTTCTAACGTATACCGAGCTTTGTAGTTTATTTACTCCATCGTTTTTTTAAATGGCGCACACCATTATGGGAACTTGAAGTCGCTGCTGGTTTGTTTCCACCATGTCTGTGCGTGTGTGTTTTCCCCTCCTTTTTCTTCTTCGTCCTGCTTCCTTCCCCTGCCATGATGTAGAGCGAGGCATAGGCGCAGATGCGACGTAGTGCCGTGTCCTACGCCGCGACGGACCACGCGACCAGGGCGCTGACCCTCCCTCTGCTGCTCGACACCATTCGCCGCGACCCGGGCATGACGGCAGCCTACTACGCCAACCGCTACTTTGGCAAGGAGCGTCAGATGGAGGTGACGCGGGTGCTGTGGGCCGAGCTGAAGCTCTACGGGCAGGTGACCATTGACCGCATCGATGGACCAGAGGCGCCGCCGCGCTGGTATCCGGTCTTCTCCATGCCGCGCAGGATTCACAAGATTCGGCGACACTGCGCCGAAGAGGAGGACCTCAGTGTGCTGCAGCAATGCACCGTCGCGGACACCGGTGAGCCGCCTCTGACGCAGGAGGCAGCCGCCTCCATGGCGACCTCTGTAGAAAGTAGCATTATTGCTCTTGTTCAGCAATTTCCAGGGCACGACATCCAGTTTTACATCGGTGAACTTTCTGCGGTGATGCAACCGCATGCCCCGATGGCGTTCAGACGACTGCGGGAAGCGGGGGTGCTAATTAGGGAGCAGACGCCACAAGGCACATTTGCCTGGAGATGAAGGTTTCCGGGATTTCCTGATCGTTTGTTTTACGTACTCTCTTGCTATTACTACCATCGTCAGTGGCTCGTGTGCCATAGTGGTGTGAGGCCCCAATGGAAGCAGGGAGGGGCGTGCGCGTGTGAGTCTTCTTGCGCGCTGTCGTTTCTTGTGATCACTTTTTTAGCGCGTGTAGTGAAGGGGTAGGACATATACATAAATAAAGAAGTGTAGGGTTAAATGCTTATTCCAGTGCAAAGAGATGCGGGCGCGTTTGGAAGCTGCTCAACGCGTCTCTTCTGCCTCTTTGCACGCTATCCACCCCTTCTGATGTACGTAGTGGCCGCTGCACTGTTGCTGTACCTCCTCGTTTCCAAAAATGCCGCGGCCAGGGCAAATGCTGTTGGGGGCGCTGTGCTTTCTTGCTTCCTCTCCGCCCGCACGCTTCGCGGCAGTCTGCATTTTTTGTGGCAAGACCGTGGACGACTGACTTTTGCTCGCGTCGCGGATTGTGTCGCGTTGCGGGCACCTGCGGGGCTCAGAGGGAAAAGTGCGGTTTACATGATTTTTGCCGATATATTTCTTCTTCCGCTTTGCATCGCGGTCTCTGCCTTTCGCGACGTGAAGTTGCTCACACACCTCGCCTTCATACTTCACCCCCATCGCACTTCATCTCTCTGGTTCGCCTGGGCCTTGCCATTGGGCGGGCTGCTGCTCAACCTCCTCCATTGGGGTGTTCTCCTGCCGATGGATCGAAGAGGTCCGCACCGCTTCATGAGTGGGAGAGCAATAGCCCCACGCATCCTCGCTTTTTTTTCCACCTGGTTGGGGATTCCAACACTCTCCGTAGTGTGCGCCATGCTTCCCTGTGATGGGGAGGCAATGGCCTTTGTTGCCGACGCAAAGTGTTTGTCCTCCTTCCACCGTTGGTGCATTGGACTTGGGGCCCTCGTTTTTGTACTCTACTTTCTTTCACAGGACGTTGCACTGGGTTTGCTCAGGCACTGCGGAGACACAGATTCTGACGAACGCCGTTGTGATGGTCTGATGTTGCAGCTCATGATGTTTCATCGGTGTGCGTACATTTTTATTGCTGTCTTTGCAGACAGACAGATTTGGTACGTTCTTGCCGGGACATTGTCGGCTTTTATCCTGCTGCTGATGTGCAGAGCCTTCTTTGCGTCTGCCAGAGTATTGAACGATCTGACACGAGCCTCCTTGCTGCAGTGTCTTTTGGGTTCCTTCTGCTGCTCGCTGACCTACGTCATGGATCTCACCTCCGCCGCTTGGCTGTGGGTGTGCGTGTCGCTGTTGGGCGGGGCACTGCTGTTTGCGCTGCTCTTTCATCGCCATGGGATGTGCCTCTGCGAGAGTGCCAGTGAGGTATGGATCGTTGGCAGTTAGAGGGAAGTGGGATGCTCTATAGCTGTTGTTATTTTGTTGTTGTTGTTTTTGCTAAAGTTGTCGCTCTCCCCCTCGTTTCCTCTTGTTTTATTATTGTTAGTATTATTATTTTTCCCCCTCACGGTTCTAGTGTGTTCACCTTTCCGTCCTTTTTTGCTCGCTTGTTTTTCCTTGGGTGCAGTTGGTTTTGTTGGCCTCCCGCTCTCGTTCTTCCTCGATCGTGTCTTCCGCCCTCTGTCCGTCTGTGTCTGGCTGTGTGTGTCTTTGTTTGCTTCGCCCTCAACTGGGGAAAAAAGTGGGGGAAAAACGATGAGTGCGGTGGCACCACTCGTTGGCGTTGCGTGGGGGGTGGAGCCGAACGTGAAGAGCACCATAGAGCCCGCCCCGGCGTCTGGGACCTCGGCAGTCACACGGTCCTGGTCACACGTTGACCGTGTGGCGCTCTTCACAACGTTTGCCGCCACCTCCTTTGCGTACTCCTTCTTCGGCAACCCGCTGTTTCTCGCCGTGGCTCGGCAGCAGTGCAGCACGGCGCGGTTGACGGTGCGGCGGGTGCTGCAGGAGGTCTACACGCAACACGGCTACCGGGGCTTATTCCGCGGCGCCGGGGTGGCTGCCTCGGGGAGTGTTATTAGCGAACTCGTGTATTACCTCATTGTGGAGTACGGAAAGGAACACTTGCCGCTACCAACGAAGGGGCAGCGAAGCCTCATTGGGGGCTTTGCCGCCGACCTAGTTTCTGGCCCTATTTTTAATCCATTTGCCGTGGTCTCGCAGGTGCAGATGGTGGCGGATTCTTGTGGCGGGGAGCACCGCTATAGAAACGGCTACCACACAACGCGGGTGATGTTGGCTGAGCAGGGCTGGCGTGCTTTGTTTCGTGGCACACTTTTAACGATGGTCGTCTCGCCCCTTACCGGGGCATGGTGGCTTGTCTATGAACTGCTAAAGCAGAGAGCCTACAGCCTTGCCGCGCGTGCCGCACCCTTATTGAGGGCTACTACTCCTATTGGAGTGTGCCAAAAATTGCCTGTGTGTTGCACCTCCACAAGGGACAACATTCTTGTTAACTGCGTTGTAGGGGCCCTGTCAAGCGTAGTCATTGGTGTCCTGGTGAACCCGTTGTATGTCTTGCGGCTCCGGCTGCAGGTCACGAAAAAGTTGCAGCATTCACGTTTTCCAGCGTTTTGGATACTGCGGAGTGTTCTTCGTGAAGAGGGTGTCCAGGCGCTTTTTAAGGGGCTGCGTGGAAACCTGTTTATGGCGGTCCTTGGCGGCGCGGCCTTTGGGATGACGTACGAGGGCGCGAAGCAGTTCTCGGACATCACCGAAGGCGGCTGTGTCGCCCTTAGCACGCAGGGGAACGGGTCCAGATAACGCATGCCCCCGCCCACCCCGCCCAGCAGGCTGCAAGGCGCAGGCGCTGCTTCCGGCGACGGCGACGGCGCTGCGCAGTGCTGCGGTTCAGACCGGCACAATGTTGGCGGGCGGGGGTCCGAGGTGACAGCAGCGGATGTCGCCAGCTTGCCTTTTACCTCCCTTGCCGCTCCCTGCTGGGCGCAGGCGCTGCCGGGAGTGGGGAGAGGAGGCCGGCAGATTGACTGCCTCGGAAGCGGCGAATATATATTTCTTTTTACTTTAGGAGTGCGAGGGAGTAGGGGCTAGGAAAGGGAAAATGGAATGTTGGACATTTTTATATATGCAAGTATACAGCTGTATGCGTGCTGCAAATAAATAGAATCAGTGTTTTGCATGTAAACTGATGAAGCATTGCTTCGTCGTGCCGTTTTTGCGTCTTGCTGGGAGGCGGAGAAAAGTTTTTTTTTCCCCGTTTTGGATATTCCCAATATAGACAAACCCGTGAGAGAGTAATGCGAGGGGGATAAAATTGAAATGAAAGTGAGAAAGGGTGGAAAGGTGGAAGAGTTACTTGGGAGACTACCGGTGATTTTCTCGATTTCTTTTCCCATATGTAAAAGCTTGTTTCTTATTCTTCTCTTATTGCTAGTACTACTAGCAATAAGCAGTGTTGGTTCGTGTTGACTGTGCTGAAGTGTCTCTCTCGGTGTGTGTGTGTGTGTGTGTGTGTGTGTGTGCACGTGCATTTGTCCATGGCGTGCTCACAGTATGCGTCTAAGTGGAGGGGGGAGTCTTGTGCCCGGCTCACTATTATGTTCTTGTCTTTTCTTGGCGGGCGTATTTCCTCTTAGGCCATTACTGAACGTCGGGAACGAAGGCGACTGACAATGTTGGGCCATGGCTCGCACCCCGCACACTCCTTGCGGGCTCTAACAAACCCAAAGGTTGGTGTGTGGTGTTCCATCTGCAAGGCGTCCGCCCATCCGTCCATGGCAGGATGGTGCATCTGCGTGCACGAGGAGTGTGGATGCGTTCTCTGCCCCAAGTGCTCTGAAGTGGAAGAACAGATGCTTGACGCTCCGCAGGTCATCACACGCAACCCAGTGCTGGGGCACGAGGACATGACTGTCTGCCTGCGCACCCGCCCGTGCAGCACTGCCCAGGTGTTGTCCCCGCTTTACTCCGGCCAGTTAATGGTTGCCGTTTCCAGCGCCAAAGGGACCGTCGATGCAGGAGAGACGTACTACAGGGTAAAAACCGGTGGATGGCTCAACGTTGCTCACGTTGTGCGTATTCTTCCGTCGCAGCGACTTGTGAATGAGCTCGCCGGAACCCACTTGCGAGCCAACGAGCAGCAATCCGATGAATTAATGGACCTGAATGATCTGGTCCTTTGCATCACTGAGAGCCTTCGGCTAATGGATGATCGTTCTCCGTACGGGCCGGTCATGGCATTGCTTCTCTTTTTTCCACTGTTTCAGTACTACGCAAATATTACACTGGTTTCGTCAGAGGGTCGCACTGCCCTTTTCCGTGCGTCTGGGGTGTTGATTCATTGCCTCTTCAAGTACAACGTGCTCGAGGAGGTTAGCGCGTGGGTGAACAACGTGGAGGATGGAGCAAAGGTGACGCTGCTGGCACTCTACGTGGATCTCTTAGCGAAGTCGCTTCTTTTGATGCGGGACATGGCGGAATCGAAAATTACGGAGCTTCCTTACCTATTTGGCCCACTCATAACGCGGACCGCCGCGGTGGTGCTCAAACTCGTTCCCGTCGTCGAGTGTGGGATACCCCCGTACGAGAACGTCACCGAACTGCTGCGTGCGCCATCCGTTGCCGGGCAACCGGTGAACTTTGAAGAAGAAAAGGCACGGCTCTACTCCTTTTGCTGCAACATGTTGGAAACGGCGGGGTGGTTGCTGCTGCATAACTCCACCTTTACGTACGAACTCAAAGACCTTCGCCCCCTCCGCGCTGCCGTCTCTGTTGTCCCCAACTCAGAGAATCTTGCGTGCATGCTTTGCCGGGTTGTGACGAGTGCGCTGGAGCGGGCCCCGTCATTGCAGCGGCGGGTGCATGAGCTGGATGTTATAGAGGTAGCCCTCTCGCTTGCCAGGAGGGAGATATCTGCGGGGAGTCAGATCGCGGTGTTTAAGCTCATCTCTGCCATTGTGCACAAGTCGCCGAGCAACATCTCACAGATGGCGTCGTTTGTCATTGCACCGCTGATTCACCTGGCCATGGTGGCCCAGAACGCCAATGTAGCTAACGCGGCGTTTGACTGCTTTGCGGAACTAGCCTACAACGGCCAACGGGTGGAGGGTTCCCGAGCTGATTTACAGAGTGAAGAGTCGGGGCTTCCACAGTGCTCTGCCGCCCTTCGCCCGCAGGAGGTGTCATATCAGCCGATGAGCGTCTATGAAGTTGGGGGTCACCGACAGGCCTTGTGTGAGTTCTGCAGTCACGCTCACCCCCCTAGGAACGCGGTGCCTCTGTATGAACTCCAATTCGCATATTTTAGATGCCAGTGTCAGTGCTGCGGGTACGTGCGGGCGGCGCCTCTGCTTCCGCCGGCAAACGTCCCAACGACGTCGGCCGTTCAAAAGATGCTGAAGGAGGGCATCATAGCAACCATGTTCTCTTGGACCAAGCGCAGGGACATCGGACGTCGTCAACGCCGTTGGGCGTTTGGCGCTGAAGATCCCTGTCCCGGCGGAGGTGCCGCACGCCCTTTACGGCGCGCTGCTCGGGAAGGGCCTCGCCGGCTACGAGGATGCCCTGCTCGCCATCGCCGTCCACTCGCACCTGCCGGCCGTGCGAGAGATGCAGCGGGATTACCCGTCCGCCGCGGTATCGCAGTACTTGTCGTGCCAGCCCAGCTTCAGGGCTGCCGCCCTCGCCGAGGCAACGCCCGGCAAGGGCTCGCAGAGTGCGGAACCCGACGGACTCACGCCATCGCCTGATCTCACGACAAAAGAAACTGGAATGCACGAGTCGTTGCCGTGCAGGGCAACGCCACCGTGCATTGGCCTCTTTTTCGGGGCACATTGAATGTGCCTGGACTGTGTCCTATAGAACCAGAAGTTTCCCGGGGAAGAGGAGGAGAAGGGCTGAAAGGCCCACGAAGAGAAACGAAAACCGGCAGAACAATAGTAAAAAAAAAACACCCTTGACGCTGGGTTGTCCAGTGCCTACCGAGGAGGCAGTACGTTCAGAGTTGCAGCGGGCATCTTCCCAGAATTCCTGAACTCGTGCCTTCTGCATTCGCCCAGCCACTGAGGTGGCATGCGCATGCGTTCATAAATTAGAGGGGACAAAAAGAAGAAGAGGGGAGCGTGTGAGGCGTGTGAACACACTCCAAGTGAACTTTACAACTTCCTCACCGTCATCTTTTTTTTCCCCCCTCTTCCCTCTCCCATTCACTCCTTCCCGTCCTTTTTTTTCTTTTTTGAATAAGCTGCCCATACTACTTTTTTTTCTTTTTTTAACATGCATGATTTTTTTTTGTGAGAGGCTTGTTTGTTTTTTGAGGCGTGTGCGCCGTCGCGTGGACTTCTTCGCGCCCGGCGTTCACTTGTCTCGCCCATAGATGTGCCCGGCCATAACGCACTTGGACGTTGTGGCGGGCGATTGAAGACAACGCAGTCTCGCGTAACGGTGAGAAATAAAAACAAACAAAGAGGGGGGAAGGGAAGGGGCGACGCAAGCATAGAGAGAGAGGAGAGAGGGAAAAAAATCAAGCAGCATTTAAATCGTTGCAGGTAAGTCGGTGTGGCATCTCTACCAGGGCTGTGGCCGCCTGCGCACCGCCTCCTCTCTTTGCCTCCTCTCCGCGTTCATTTTTTTCCCCCACTTTCTCTCCCATCATACGTGGGCCCCGAAAGGGCGGTGTGTGTTTGTTGTCTCGTACACGAGAGAGAGAGAGA